ACTTCTGAGTTCTGACTATTCCCAAGATTGATTCTCAAAAGTTCAAAACCTAACACGCCATTTAAATTTTGATTATATTTTTGAAGAAATTTTTCAGTGTGATACCATGTGTTAATATACAAATAGTAGGATATGTGTGTTAAAAATTAATAATTTAAAAAATAAAATTTTCACAATCTATATAAAAATACGTGACGTAGCATGTGTGTTCTCGTCGTAATGAAAAATTTCACCTACTTTTGATCTAAACAAAGAAAAAGTAGGAAAAATGATGGTCATCCCAGAAAATCACAGACGCCACACCAAAACCTCACAAAAAAGAAAAGTAAAAGGTCCATTTTGTTTCTTCACGGGTCACCCAAGTTTCTCCAGGTCATAACCGCCTCCCTCGCTCTCTCTCTCCAGCCTCCATTTCTCTGGAATTTCCCCAAAAACCACCCCAAAACAATGTTAAAACCTTTCCAAACTTCACGTTAGCAGCAGCTCTCCTCCACAACTCTCTCTCTCTCTCTCTCTCTTGCTCACCTTTCTAGACCCGAAATCCTATCTGGGTTTCCACCCGTTTCGGATTCGGACCCCCCGGGCTGACCATGGACTCGAGCTCTGCTTCAGCAGGTGACCACAACATCAGAGGGGTGCTGACCCACGGCGGACGCTACGTTCAGTACAATGTCTATGGCAACATCTTTGAAGTTTCCAGGAAGTACGTCCCGCCTCTTCGGCCCGTCGGCAGAGGTGCTTATGGTATCGTCTGGTAAGATTGAATCTTTTCTGGGTTTTGAGCTTTCAGTTTAAATTTGTTATCTTTGGATTTGCTTTTGATGGTTTGATTGCTTTTGCTTGAATTCTTTATTGGGTTTGCTTTGGAAGTATCGATTTTTGATCGAAAATTGATTTGAGTTAGTTTGGTTCAAGAAGCGGGAAAAGCACTTTCTGACTCTGATCGAAATTTTAATCTAAGCATATGTGGATTTTGGTATTTTTGAGATTTTACTATGGATATTTATTTGCGTTTGTTAGAGATTGTTTTTGTGGGTTTTGTTTTCTTGTAGAGTTAGTGCGATTTCGGTATTTTGTGGTAGGGAGGTTTTGTTGGTTGGGGAATTTTGTGTATGTAATCAGAAAGAACTTAGGGTGTATGGAAGCTTAGTCAGTTTGCTTGTGTACAGTAATTGAGTTTTATTCATATTTCTGTGTGATCTAAATGAGATTTTGAAGTTGTTGATTTGTGTCTCTAAGCTGGGTTTAGTGATGTGCTATGTATCCTTTGGGTGGAAATTTTAGTCCACAAGATATACGCTCTGCTGCGCTCAACTAAGCCATTATCCTAGAAAATCAGGATCAACCACGTGAAGTTGTATTCCATGTTATTTTGGGTTGTCAACGTGAATGTTTTTGCCTATGAGCCTACTCATAGCTCCAATATTCATTCCATCTCTAATTGAAATCCTTCCTTGCAAATTCCACCCATATCGTTTTTCGTCTCTCCTTGCCCCTTCTTTCAGTTACTGAAATTGACTTATTCGTGGTATATGTCTCAATCTTATAGTGGCTTAGTGAAGTAGTGTGTCTCAGGCAATCTTTAGTTTTGGTCGGGTGAAGGATGTTTATCAATAAGAATTTTGTTTTCTATTCATTTGACTTACATCGTATGCTGTTATAACAAATTTGAAAGTAGATGATTTTTCTTGTTGCATCCAGTGCTGCTGTCAACGCTGAGACTCATGAGGAGGTAGCCATTAAGAAGATTGGTAATGCATTTGACAACAGAATAGATGCCAAAAGGACTTTACGAGAAATTAAACTTCTTCGGCACATGGATCATGAAAATGTAATTTTTTTTGTGACCTTTTGCTGTTCATGTTCCATGAGGAGCTCTTATATCATTTATGTACATCCTATGTAACAGGGCTTGCAGATATTTTTTGTTTGGCCCCTTAAATTAATTGTTTTTTCTTGAACATACGCGTAAAGAATTTTAGCTATAGTATGCAGTAAAACACTTCCTTTAGCATCTAAATAATTGTTTTTTTCGTGTTTGGGAAATGTTTTACTGCAATAAGCCCTGTCTTTAGCACCTAAATGAAATCTCCCATGGACTCAGTTCTCCCTGTTTGCACATATATTGATCAAAAACTTGAGAATGTTTCATGTGTTTCTGGAGTCAACAGCTTACAAGTTAGTTTGTTCTGCAGGTTATTGCCATCAAAGACATCATACGGCCTCCACAGAAGGAGAACTTCAATGATGTCTACATTGTTTATGAATTAATGGACACTGATCTTCATCAGATTATACGGTCCAACCAACCTTTGAATGATGATCATTGTCGGGTTGGCCTTCTTTTCTTAATTTTTGTTTTACTTTTTTTTGGTCAATCTGTTTATGTTATACTTGCTAGCCATTTGATTCTTGTAGTTAGTATTGTTGAGCATCCCATGGAAAGGATTTTTTTTTTTTAAAAACTTTTTCTCTTGATTTATATTTTGTTTGCAATGCCATTTGAATATAAATAAATGTTCTTGTAGTACGTATAAATGAGCATCATCAGGAGGGTTATAAGCTGTTGACATTAATTCCTTTTTTGTTTGTTTGTTTAAACAACCAAGATTCCATAGTTGGATTCCAGATTCTATTTGTTAGGTTACTGGTGATGGCAATACATGCTTGTCACTGATGTAGGTTGAATTAAGCAACTAATGAATATGGTACACACTCCCTTTCACCACTCAGTTTTATATGTACACACACTCCATCTTTCTATAGCTTGATAATAAATTGTGAGAAATGATCTTCTCAACTTAAAAACAAGGTTCCTTTGCTTTGTTAACCTGTTGATCAATGAGATGGCATGTTTCTTTTATTCTTTTGTGGGAACTTGAAAGATGGATCTACATTTCATTGCAAGTGTTCTGAACCTTTCATATTCGGAATGACTATAATATAGAAATTGTTACTTGTAGCTAGTTAAGAAAAATTCTCTGCATTTTAACCTTGATTATCAACCATTCTCATGATCATGATTTCTGTTTTACACGCCTGAGGTCTCACTAATATGTTTAAATTCCACCTTTGCAGTACTTTCTGTATCAATTGTTACGAGGGCTCAAATATGTACATTCAGCTGGTGTTTTGCATCGTGATTTAAAGCCCAGCAATTTGTTCATGAATGCAAATTGTGACCTTAAGATTGGAGATTTTGGTCTTGCCAGGACAACATCCGAAACTGATTTCATGACTGAGTATGTTGTTACTCGTTGGTACCGTGCACCAGAATTGCTGCTTAATTGTTCGGAGTACACAGCAGCAATTGATATATGGTCTGTAGGTTGCATTCTAGGTGAAATCATGACCAGAAAACCCCTATTCCCTGGCAGAGATTATGTACATCAGCTGGGACTCATAACAGAGGTATATGGTTTCTAGGTTTCTTGCTGATTTCTACATTACTAACATGTCTACTTTTAACGAGAAATCTCCAAAAACCTTTTTTCCACTTAACATGCGGAAGAGGTTCCATCTGATTTACATTTGGTTATGTTTCGAGTTTCAAGGCAGACGGTGCATAAACAGTACTGATTCTCTGACTAATATTAATAATGAATTTCTAATAAGATTAGTCTCTATATTTATGGGTGAGAAATAGACAATGAACACGTTTCATAATAATAATCTTTCAAATGATCTTGGCCAACTGGTGCAATGTTTTCCTTTTGTGTCCAACAGCTCTTAGGCTCACCTGATGACTCCAGCCTTGGATTTTTACGAAGTGATAATGCTCGAAGATATGTTCGACAACTACCTCAGTACCCAAAGCGGAGCTTCTCGCTTGGGTTTCCTAATATGTCTCCTAGCTCTATAGATTTGCTGGAGAAGATGCTTATCTTTGACCCAAACAGGCGCATTACAGGTATACTTCGCTATTGTGTTGCACTTCAACCAGTTTAGTTATGACATAAATGATATTAAGGATCTCAGAGTTCTGCAGGATTCCAATGAACTGGAACTTACCAGTTAGTATTCTTGTGTCTTTTGGCGGAAACATGTTGTGATATTTAATTCAAGAAACTGCAGTGCATGTTTTGTAATTCTCAAATACGGAATTCTGCAGTAACTTTTGTCACAGAACTTATTAATAGGTCAACTGGAGCCATTTTACTTCCTGATAATTTTCTTCTTTGTTAATTGCATTGACGGTTGTTTTTCTCTCCGGTACTTTGTAGTTGATGAGGCTCTTTCCCACCCATACTTGGCGCCTCTTCATGATATCAACGAGGAGCCTGTCTGCCCAATGCCTTTCAATTTTGATTTTGAGCAACCCTCGTTTACTGAAGAGAACATCAAGGAGCTCATCTGGAGAGAGTCCGTAAGGTTCAATCCAGATCCAATTCAATGAGGATCATGATATAATCTGTTGTATACTCTTAGAAACTAATCTCAAAACTGATTGCAATAGCTGAATCTCAAGGCTGCCTAGTCGGTGTAATCTACTAATCTGTGATTCTCTAGAGTTCCAATCGCTCATTGGTGCAGGTTTGTGCTGGTTAGCAGCTTATAATCCGATGAGGACTATCACCCAGCACCGTTGTAAGGCCCGACGGTGTTGCAGTTATATCTGTTTAGAATGCTAGGTCTGAATGTGGATGTTTGTAATGAAAAATCTTTGATTCTGTGTATTTTGTTTTGCCTTCAAGTTTGTTTCCGTTGTTAAGACTCCTACGAGACAATTCCGTGCTCTGCTTTCTTGGGAAAATCTAATAAAATGCTTGCTTAGAAACTACTGTCAATGGCATCTGAAATTTCGGATAGTGTTCATATTTGTTACCAAGATAAGTTACCGAAAGTTTGACAGGCCCTTTTCTTTTACGAAGGGGAAGTGGTTTCCGCACACATTTTTTCTCCTCTACACCTATGTTTATTTTTAGCATTTGCATTGAACAAAAGAAAGGAGAATCGGGGGACAAAACTAAACAGGGGTGCGTCGAAGAAGAAAGAGGGTATGCGGCAATCATTTCACTTCCGAGTTCATGTAACGGAAATATTGCTGGAGGGAAAACATGGCAAAGTTTTATGGCGGTCTGATAGTTTAGCTTTTAACAGAAGACTGAAAAACATAGTAATGGTACACGATCTTAGGATTGTTTACAGAGAGCTCATCCTATATGTACACTGTTTGAGCTCTACCCGGTCAATCGGCAGATCATCTGCAGGAAAATCACAAGCTTTGGCTTTCTCAGCACCCTGATCCGGCAGCAGATCACAAGGGCGAGGAGTCACGCCGCTCGTGATCCCCTCAATGTCGGTGCACGTCCATGGCTGCTTCTTCGCCTTCACCGCCAGTCCAATCGTCACATTCGAGATGCAAATCCCGGTAAACGGGTGGTCCGCAATGCCTTCTAACCTTGCAGCCATTGTGACATTATCGGCCACCATGTCCATGTAGTTAATATTTTTGATCTCAGGCAGTGCATTTTTATCATATTTGTCATCAGCATGTGACCCGTAATTGCCGGTCATCCAAAACGCCCATTTCATTGTGTGCATGGTGAATCTCCTCGCGTATATGTCTTTCACGTACCCTCCTCGCCCTACGGCGGTCTTGATCCGGACACCCGATTCGGTATGGATGGCCACTATGTCTTCAGCTCGGACGTCTTGGATCCCGCCGGACATTTCACTGCCTAGGGCAATGGTGGCGCTGTAGGGCGAAATGCATGTGAGACGTCGGACTACTAGTTGTTTTGTAGGCATTCCAAATGCAATTCCGTACTCATCCCAACCGCTCTTAACAGCTACACAATCATCCCCAGAGACTATGTAGCAGTCTTCAATTCTTGTATTGGTGCAAGAATCTGCATTTGAAATTGCCAAAATATTAATGAATTAGTATATTTTTAATGATAATTATGTACTTAATTGGACCCCATTAGGCATAATTTGGCCACTTAATGATTCAGTTGAAAAGAGTAAAAGTCTAGTACTGTTGTGGCTAAAGTAAATATAATTTAATCTAAACCACGAAAAGCGAGATTTAAATTTCGGTGGAGAGGGGAACCATTGAATATGACAAGGTCTGCAGATGATGTTACAGTTGACTAACCTGGGTTGATACCGTCTGTGTTTGGAGATGAAATTGGAGCTATAATAGTAATCCCTTTCACGAGAATATTACTGCATAATTTCAAAATCTTAATCATAAGATAACCTTAAAAACTTTGAAAACACTAATCAGGCCGATGATTGAGTGCCATGTGGCTGAACTCGTACATGCTCACAAGTGACAGTCAACTATTGATGCAAGTTGATTTCACAATGCATCAACAGCTGGTAGGCCACTTAGATGCGCTTGGCCGACAATTAATAAAATGTATCACAAAAAGTTTCTTTTGGTGGGTAGGCATGTTTGGTTACCTGCTATAAACAGGATGGACATTCCATGATGGAGAATTTAGGAGAGTTAGGTTTGAGATTTGGACATCGGTTGAGAACATGACTTCGATCAGGTAAGGGCGGGTGTATTTTAGCTTCTTCTTGTGGAACTGTTGCCACCAGAACTCACCCTGCCCATCAATTGTGCCATTGTCACCTAACGAGCAAAGGACCTCAATAAATTTAGTCATTTATTCGAATAAAATAATTACGATGGTTGGGGATGTCATGCCTAGCTAATCGATATATGCGTAACGCATTTAGTCGACTAGCTACTCACATCCCGCAACTATCTAGAATTGAATTGAATCACATAAATTAGGTTACCTGTAACAACGACATCAGTGAGATTTGTTCCCCATATGAGACTGGTGTACCTTCCAGCTGCCGCATCTCTTCCTCGACCGTAAGATGGGAGGGCTTTGAGCACAGGCCATTCATTAATGTCCTAAGACATATTTCATTATTTGAGTTAGTAAACCAAACCAACAGAATTCATTACATAATTTTGGAATTTTTGGAGATTATTCTGTGCTTACGTCTAAAACTACGTCATTTTAGGATAGTTAATACTAAATCTAAAACCTATAACACTTTTTTTTTTTTTCGCAAGTTAGTAATTTTAATACTCAACTCCGTGACTGAAAAAAAATTGTAATATATTAGCCAAAAGAGGAGCTCAAAATCGGGACCCTTCTTTTTTTGATAAACTTAAAATTCTAAATCTTTTTTTATACAAATAATATTCTACTTGAAACTAATCAGAATTATTGTGAAAAAGTATTTAAACTCGGATGCCCAAGAAAGAATACACTTGCTCTAACCAACGCGTCTACGCTTGCCCACGCCTTTAAACTAAAGCCCTAAACCTTAAACTCCAGATAGTGTTGTTTTAGTCGAAGTCTTGTATAATTTAAGCCAACATCCAAATCCCTCTAATGTAAGTTGTAACAAAAGAAAATCTAATCTTTTTGTTGTTAAGTCCCTTTATCACAAATAGTTTCAACATGATTAAAATGCACAAATGGGAAATATGTGTGTATATGCATGTTTGAGAAGAAAGAAAAAAATTAAGAGAGAGAGAGAGAGAGACTTGAGAAGCGAGGAGAACAGCATCCTTGTGGAGATAGAGAGTGAAGTGGCTGGTGAGGTTGAAGCTCCCCGTCAGCCACTTCCCTGCCGGAACAAAGAGCTGAGCACCGCCCTGTGTTTCATACTGGCTCAGCTGACTGACGGCGGCATGAAAAGCCTTTGTGTTTGATGTCTTTCCATCTCCAACTCCTCCAAAATCAGTCAGCGAAGCACTGTGAGCTCTGCAGTTCATTGCAGTGTACTCAAACGATTCAAATATTTTGCCCTTTGCCCTTCTGCTCTCAGCCCCTCTTAGCATGGCCACCACAACAAGTACCACTAGCACTAGTTTAATAATCACCTGAGAAATTAAGAAACAATTAGGAAAATAGAAGGAAAAAAAAAAAATCTCATTAGCATTTTTGTTTAAGTTTTTGTTATCAAAAGTGATTTACACACTCCCTTCCTTAATTTTGTCATTCAATTTTCCGTTGATTTATTCAATCCAACGGCTAGAATGCAAAGAGGATAGTGCAAAAAATGAAAAAGAAAAGACGAGTTACTTAAATTTGAAGAGAAAATGCATAATAAATTGATGTTTGGTTGGTGAGAAAATGCAGGAAAATGAAATAAAAGAGAGGGAGAGAGAGAGATGATTTGACGTTTTACTTGGGTTTTCATAGGACTCCTCCCCAACAGCTCCATTGTAGATAAAAGGCAGCTTGGAATTTGTTTTGGTTGTTGCGGAGTATAAAATCAATGGGGGGTATTTATAGGGTTATGGTTCTGTTGTGAAAAGTTAGCATGATTATTCTGCTATTGGACCGTTTTCTTTTCTTATCGTAGAAAACAAATCACCAAATGAAACTTCAGTTGCATTTTATGTATTTAATATTATTTATTTTGATGATCTTTATCTTTTACATTACCACCAATAAAGAACAACGGTTATAACAGTCTCTCTTTTTAAACTTGGAGAAAAATGACTTCATCACTTGTTAAGTTCGTTTCTTGCACGAATAATTTATTCTCCAAAATATATTAAAAAATTACCGTGATCATGATCATGAGCAAGTCTATTCTCCAAAATCTATTAAGTCTTCTATAATTATAACAAGTGATTATATTAAGGGTTCATTACAAATAGGCCCTTAAAACTCATATTAAAAAAAAAAAAACAAAAACTCATATTTTTTTTAGAAAAAACTCACCATAAACATCCAACAAAAACTCAAAATTCAAATAAACTGCCACGTGAGAATAAAAGTAACTTACTATTACAAATGATTGACAACTTATGCCACATTCCTTCTAAATTATTTCTCACTCACACTTGAATTTTGACTCCAATCAAGGCATTAGAAACAAATTAATCATGCTAATGATTTTTTTTAGTATTTGTTTTTAATTTTCCAACAATCTAGCATTGTTCAATGGAATCATTTTTCATATAAATTGATTTACCTACTAAAGTAATTTACTTACTGCATTATTTATTTATAAGTAGGTAAACTAAAATAATTTACCTACTCCTTATTATATATGTAATTGTCAAAACACAATACTTAAGTAGGTACACCAAGATATAAACTAATTTACTAATATTCTTGAATTGTCACTAGATATCATTTCCATAAAAAAAGTTAATACAATATTCTATTGGAAAAATATCAATGATACTTATATTTTTGAATTCTCACTTAGATATCATTTCCATAAAACGTAATAATTTACCTAAATCTCACGTGTGCTAAATTTTCAAGCCTAACACTTAAACAACACAAATCGGGTGACATGGAACATATATGGCTATTGGGTTTCACACATGAGACAATTTGGCCCTGATACCACGAAAAAAATTAAGGTTCTACTATAAAACTAATTGGCAATACGGGGAGTAACCCAATCTCTTATAATCAATCACATGCAAGATCTCTTTTTTATCTAATGTGGGATTCACTCAACAAGGTGCTCCAAATTTGGAAATTTAATCTAGACGTCAGAAGTAATCAATGTTAATGAATTAATTGTCTTGGTGAACAAGACACTAATTCTTTTTTGATCAATTACGTTTTGAGTTTAAATTTCTCCTCTCGTAATATGGTTGAGAATATGGTGAGAATAATAAATATTGTTTATAATCATACACACACACACATATGTAAATATCATTTTCACCCCTAGTTTAGTAGTTTATTAGGCACAAATTAACAATTTAACTTCCTAGATTTTGTAACTCATGAGCCTGTGACATTTTAAGGATATTTGTGGTTTTGAGCCTTGAATTATTATTGCATAGGAAAGTGGTTAGTGGATCCCACTCTTGATGCACCTTCTTGAAGTTTGCATATATTCATCCAATCTCGTGATCTCGTCGCTTTCACTCCTCATACTTGAGCCTAGTGTCCAGACAGACAAGGATTGGATTGCCAGTGCCGACCCACTTCGTGGATTCACGGGTCTCAAACTCGTGGCCCCCACATTAATTTACCCTATTATATTATAACGTATGAATGAATTTGTAATTAAAAAAGGTAACATGTATATTGGTGTCTATTGCATTTGTAGTTGAACAATGGAACAAACCGTCTGTGTGTATATATTATATGAATCATGGTTTGGACATTTGTGTTACATGTTTTCATTTGTTAAGGTTCATCAAATGTCTACATTTCTGTAATTTCATGATTTTAATTTCGATGTGAGGAAAAAACTTATGTTGAAACTTTCATGCCACACAACAAGATTTTACACATAATGTAGTTAAAACGTATAAAACAGGATAAGTTGCAGCTGCACATTGCTATGCATCACTTGAGAAGGTTGAAAATATTGTAACGTTGTATTAAATGTAAACTGAAGAAAGTTGAGTTTTACCATAAAAATAATTGTTAATGGAGAGTAGGTCAATTACTTATAAGCATATACAAGGTCCCTTCTTTTCTGATATGAGATTCATACTCTTAACACGCCCCCTCACATGTAGCGAGTTTTCAAGTCTAACACGTGGACAATGCAAACAGAGTAACGTGAAGCACGTGTGACTATTGCACTTTTTACGAGGGACAACCTACTCTAATACTATGAAGAAAGTTAAGGTTTCACCATAAAACTAATTAGCAACATAAAAAATAACTCAATTACTTATAAGTACGTACAAAGTCTCTTTTTTCTTTATGTTGAATTCATACGCTCAACATAAACCAATCCCCTCCTAATTATTTCCTACTTCAAGTGTTTTGGATGGATGATAAAGTCCAAAAAATAAAAATAAAATAAACATAAGAACTGTGAAAAGGACCCTGCAGACAACCCGTGAAGGCTGTTGGAGGATAAGTTCTGACCATGAAATAGAATGGAAGTTTGGCTTCTTGCTAGGAAAGAGATGGAATATAAAAACAATACAGAAACTAACACTATTATTGCAGTTCGTATGAGCTCTGCCACAGAAAACGGGTAACATAAGATAGGAAAACAACTCATATAACATGGGTAGACTGTAATTGGTGTTCTATATCAATGAAATAAGGACAAGTTGACAAGAATTTACACACATATCCATTTATTTGACACGAAAAACTACAGTGACAAAACTGTAATAATTATTTGTAACATATAACTTCTTCTCCTGACATAAATTACACTCACAAGATTTGTTATTCACTCACGAGAGCCTTCGAACCCAAAAAAAGGCAAAAAGTCGAAAGCAGTATATTCCGAGTGGGGGGTTTGGCATAACGTGGTTGAGACTTGAGAGTTGAAAATGAAATAAAAACACTCTCTCTCTTCACGCCCTAAAAGCTATCCATCTTTGTTCATATAATGCCTTTCTGGTTCAAAAGGAATCTTCTTGGTCATATTTTCGCCTTGGTGGATGATATTTTTTGGTGGAAACAATATAGTACTATAAAATAATAGATATTCGAGTTAGATTAGTTGATCACAATATTATGCTCGATTTTTACACTTAAGTTTAAATCTTTTTTTTTTTTTTAACTCACAAAATAGAATATGAGAGCAAATCGATGGTTACAAGATCAACTATCCTCTAATCAATTGAATTATTAGTATTTCAAGTATTTGATTATAGAGTAAGAAATCATAATAATTCAAATACTCGTGTATTAAGTCAGGAATTGAAATAATTTGAGTACTCATAACTAAACATGTTACGAAACGTATCGCTGATTCTCAGATTCTCAGGAGCAACATATAGTGAACATAGTCATCACTACTGTGATGTCGTGATTTACCAATACAATGTTACTGTAACAATTTTGTATCGATATAATATTAAATTGAAACGTGGTGTAGCACTAAATCACTTTAAATTAATGTACCTCATGATTCAAAGAAAGTACAACACAGTTATTGGTCCTTTCCTTTCGTCCTTTGGTGGATGATTATTCTTGGTGGTGACTATATCTGTTTTTTTTTAAATTTTTTAATTTTTATTTTTAAGAGACGATAGTATCTACATTAAAAAGATGGAGGGTACGCTTAATCTCACAATGGGCTAATAGTATTGTGTTTCAAATTCGTCTTTAACGAGATTGAGCCTAAGACCTTTCATTTATAAGTGAAGAGAATTATCATTAGATCGTAATTCTAAATGATCTGATAGTGACCATATTTTTGAAAAAGAAAAAACTAATTGTACACACTTGTATAGACGTTGGAGACAAAATAATTCCTTATCCATATGAGGATTAGCCACACCACGCTTAGGAGTCTGGTAATTCGCCACTATTTGCAGCTTTTTTCTTTGTACAGAATCCAGTCATGGTGCTTCGTTATATTAATATATGCATTTTGTTAGTGGAGAAGTAAGTGGACCACCGACCGACCACACTTGGTTCTTGTTACTTGATCCAAGTTATAAGGTTGTTGTGGCTTCTCTGAGTCCTGGTCCATGCAACCCCGAACAAAGTTTTCATTTGGGGGTTTGTGTTATATTCTCAAATTTTGCCATCATCTGTATTTTCGATACGGCATTTTAAGTTACGCTGGGTCCTTCATCGTCTTGATCAACCGATTATAAGAAGCTAGAACTCTGCTTCAATTAACTGACATACACACATGTACGAAGCCTTTAAAGGAAGATATTTTTATTTTTTTATTTTTATAAAAATAGAAATTAGTTGTGCGGTCAACATTACTTTGAAGTTTAACTATCTGAACTATCTATTTTTCAAGTTGCACATAATAGATCATCCTTACAAAATATTAGCCAAATTGGAAATATTAAGGCATCTAATTGAGCTCAAAGAAATTAACGAACATTTTGTTCTCTAAGAAACATTGAAATTTCATTGTTATAATTAAACAAACGGTTTCTGATTAAATTGAATTTTTTTAAGGATGATCTATGAATCAAGACTTACAAAAATAGATGATTCGGATTGTTAAAATTCGATGTGGAGTGGGTTTCACAACTAATTCCCATTTTTTGAAAAAATGGATACCCCTCTCCTTAGACCATCTTCAACCATTGAATTAAAACCTAAAATTTTTAACCCAGAAAATTTAGGTTTTAACTCAAAAACAGTCTTTTTGCTCCAATTTTTGTGGGTTAAATTTTTAGCTCGAGATTATTAAAGGATGAATTTAGAATAACATTTTTGTCAGAGTATCATTTTTTTCTTAAATATTTATGTAGACAATTTTAATTTAGTTTTATGAACATTTTAACCAAAAAAATATTGAGATTCCAATAAATATTGAATGATTACTAAACTGACACTATGAAACTTGTGGAACACTATGTGAAACACATTAAAGAATTCTTTTTAATTATTTTAGTTGTTGGATTTAAATTTGGAC